GAAGATATGATTTGCAAACCGGTATTGTAGTCTTTCGCGGTACCTTCTGTCCTGCAGCAACAAGCTGAGGGCTTGTCGCCCCAGATTTCTTGTTAACCCCCCCCCGTACCGTTCAGCTGCAAAAAGTTCTTCTTGCAAAATTCCCGTTTCTGTCCTTCAACATGTGTATATCCTCCACCGGGTAACCCCGGCCCGCCCCCCCCCCCGTAAAAATTCCTAATCTAGATTCTAAATAATTTGCAAAAATACCGAATTGATTAAAGCGTTTGCCCTCCCCCAAAAAAGGTATTCGTAAAAAAATTAGCCACACTATCCCACCCTCCTACCCACGTCTTCCTCAGTTCTTCTTTCGGCAAAGAGCTGTTCCCAAAATATTGCAAAAGTTCCCTCCCTCCCTATCCCCCCAAAACCTCGTGTTCAGTTTTTCCAAAAACTTCCCCGCAGAGCCAAAAACTCCCTCCCCCCTCCCCTAATACGCCCTTTGATCGGAAGACACCATCTCTTTTAGTTTTAAAAAATCTACCAAACCCTCCGAGTAAAAAACCTGTCAAAACGAGCCCCATTCCCCTTTTTATAAAAGTTGTTCCCCCCTCCCACGACCTCCCCAAAGATCCGTAATGAAATCTTAAGCAGGCCCCCCAAGATGAGGAAAAATATCCTCCCCTGGGTTCCAGTCTCTCTTCTTATTTCACAATTCCAATCCCCCCCACAATCGCGACAGACGGTAACGTGCGTAGGGAATCCGAGCTCCTCCCCCACAAAAAACCTTTTCCTTTACGTCCTTTCTGCTGGGGCTACAACACCAAACGCCAACTCTTTCCCATCCCCCATCCTTCCAAGTAATACCCCCCCCCCCCCCCTCTTTCCCATGCAAAACAAACGGGGCCCCCCCTCCCTGATCAACACACCCACTCCTCCTTTTAACGCTGACGGCAACACATAAGCCTGATCCAGGGACCACTAATTCACGACCAGCTTTAAAAAAGTGTCCCGACAAATGCTACGTCAACCTTATACCTATTCAAAAAATTCCCGAAGCCTCCCGTTTTTAAAACCCTCACCAGACCTTTTTTAAATTTTTTGTTACCAACCTGAGGCCAAACTTAGGTTTCCTTCCCCCCCTCTGTCAAGATTTTCCTTTCAGACTGTTCCCGGACTGGCTTTGCCACAGTTTCCCCCCCCCTTCCCAAAAATCCCCCCCCCCCTTTTGTTGTGGCCCCCTCGCGAGTCATCGGGTACCCCGAACCCCTGTCTTTTTTCCCCCCCTTTGCGCCGGTGTCAGAACATCGTCCCAATCTGACGTGCTGCCCTTTTCTGTAGCTCCCCCCCGTTTCCATATCGGGTCCGGGAGCCAGCACAAGGACTTCCCCCTCTACCCCCTTAATCCCCCATGCCCCTCCATGGCCTCGCCCCTGTCCCCAGGGCCACCTGATCCTCCCTTCCCCCCACCCCTTTACCCCGATCCAGGGTCTTTTTCGCTGTAACTCTCCCCAATCCGTAGACGTAACAAGCCTGTTTACCCTCTCCAACTCCCCTCAATGCTTCATGCTGCGCCCCCTGTACCTCCCCATTGAAACTGTACTGTTGTTTGGGCCAGGTGATTAGGATCCCTTCTTCCGATTCCCAGGAGGAGCCACCCCCCACTTCACTCCACATGCGCCACACCCTCCTCTTGCACCCCTTCTTCTTTAGGTTGGGTGCTCTGCGCAGGGTCCGCCCCTTGCGGCCCCGGAGCCACTGTTTTTAGGGCCAGGTGATTCAAGGATCACCCCTTCTTCCGTTTCCACTGGAGGAGCCACTACCTCTTCATCCCCATGCGACCACGCCCTCCCCCTTGCCCCCGTTCTTCCTTAGGCATCGGGTTCATGCGCAGGGGCTCCGCCCCTTGCCGGCCCAGGGGCCTACTCGCTTGCCACAGTTGCCGCCCTATGGTCAATTCCCACACAGTCGGCCGTACGCCTTGCCCCGTATAGCTACCATTACCCGGGTTCTAAAATCTTCGAGATATACATACGGGGTATAGGATGCCTAAGCGCATCTTGAGATTAAAAGAACCCCCGGAAATCCCGTGTAAGCACCTTTTACCCCCTTTGCCAGGTTGGGCCGATGTACAGTTCATAAAGTTCGAAAACATTTTGAATATCTACCTCATCGCCTCAAAAGGCACGTTGCGGAGTTTAACCACGAAAAATGTCGTGATACATCAATCAAATTGACCCCCATGCCGGTGTTACATAATGTGACATTTGGTAACGATAAACCCAAAACCTCGTATACTTGAGCAGTTAGCACTTTCACGAAAAATTTTTTACACCGTTCGTGCCACTCCATATAAATCCCCGTCTCTGATGCCCTATGTCCTCGTATAATTTTGGGCAATAACAATCGATGGTAGGTGTTTAAAGCCCCCCCTAATAAGTTTTAAATGCCCACAGTATTCACTCTCCCGCGAACCTGGCGCCATGTCGTTGATGATTAGCTCGTCTGGGGGAAAAAGTAGAGGGGTGCAAAGCCGTCCGCACTCTCCCCATCCAGGCAGCAAATGACAACACTTGTACACTGCTGTCGGTTATGAGGAGCGTCAGGCAAGGGGGTTGCCGGCCCAATAGCGATGCAGACAATGCCCCAAATTAAATCCCCTGGAGCAGATGTTGGGTGCTGGCTGGAAGATTTTCCAGACAGTGGTCAATTTTTAACAGCTGTTCCTGGAATTGCTGGGATGTTGCATCCAGAGGCTTGTAGACTACCACAATGACTAGGTTTTGGTTCTCGACCTTTACTGCCAAAACTTCCACTACATCATTTGAGGCATTAATGTCTATTTATATTCTGGAATTATGTACTGCTGTACTGTTTTTAAATAAAAGATAAAAAAAATTCAACTTAACGAAGATTCTGAAGGCCCCATTCAAAGCTACACCATATACTTCTTCTTTTTTTTTTTATTCGCCGGTATTCTCCCGGCGAATAAAGTAGTGGTGACCCGGCCTTGGCTCCCTATCTCGGGAGTGTCTCGAGACCTAAGTCTCCCATGGGAGGAGGTACAAGTATCCCCTCATCTTTGGGACGAACTGTCCCCAGGCCTAGCCACATTCCCCGCCCTCACGGGGCTCGTAGGGAGAAGCTAGGCCATATACCTCGTCGTCCTGTGTTCCATACGTCTCTGATGATCGTCGGTAGCAACACTTGTGCCGTTGAGGGGGAAATCGCCCCTCGAAGCAGATCAATACCGACGGTATTCACTCTACGCCATACACTCAGCGCCATGTTGTTAGTATGAGAGCTCACCTGAAGACAGCAGAGAGGTGCAGGGCACAACTGCGCTCCACTACAGTCAGGCAGCGAATGATCATAAAAATTATTAGAAATGAGCGTTTGCCCAAGTAACGTAGTTTTATAATAGTCTCCCACAGATAATTACCAGACTCTTAATAAAAATCAATCTAACTTGCAGTGAGTTCTAATATTATTATTTAGCCATTGAAAATTATACATTGTTGTAATTTTGTGATGTGCTGTATATAAGTTGACCACAAAATAGTTAAGATAAGATTTCGTTCGGATTTTTAACCCCGGAGGGTTAGCCACCCAGGATAACCCAAGAAAGTCAGTGCGTCATCGAGGACTGTCTAACTTATTTCCATTGGGGTCCTTAATCTTGTCCCCAGGATGCGACCCACACCAGTCGACTAACACCCAGGTGCCTATTTGCTGCTAGGTGAACAGGACAACAGGTGTAAGGAAACGTGTCGAAATGTTTCCACCTGCCGGGAATCGAACCCGGGCCCTCCGTGTGTGAAGCGGGAGCTTTAGCCACCAGGCCACCGGGCCATTCAACAATATCTCAAGTTGCTGGTTGCGTTGTGTTGCACTGCCTGTGCAACTACAAGTGGAGAGCTGCTTCCAACTTTAAGCTTAAATAACATTGAATAATCCTTAACTTTTGCATTTTAACTTAACATTAATTTTGCTGTGAAATGGTTGTATAGGTGTTTTGTTAATAATTTTTTAATTCTTTGATTGTATAAAAGAATCACATAGAGATAGTGGAGATGATATTTGTGTTCAGGTTTCCGTGGTGAGGGTGAGATGTTTGGTGGTAGCATCACATCGACACCATGCCTAACCCTTCTAGGGTAGGGTAGGTGCCTGAGCCCGAGCCTTTAGCTCATAAGACTGTCATTCCCATTTGTCCCCTTGGGGCGGGGATGGCAGACCAGAGAGGCCTAGCTTGTGGCTAGGCCTGGGGACAGTTGGTCCCAAAGATGAGGAGGTACTTGTGCCTCCTCCCATGGGAGACTTAGGTCTCAGACTCTCCCTAAAGAGGGAGCCAAGGCCGGGCCACCACTTGGAAAAGGCCCGGGCCGGGAGAAAAACCCGGGAAATTTTAATAATAATAATAATGGTAGATCAGATCGCACCCGCCCAGCCCTTTTAAGGTAGGGTAGGTCCTGGCCCGAGCCCTTTTGCTCATAAGACTGTCATTCCCATTTGCCCCCCTTTGGGGGGGGGATGGCCAGCCAGAGAGGCCCAGCTTGTGGCAGGCTGGGGCAGTTGGTCCCCCAAAAAAAGAGGAGGTACTTGTGCCCCCTCCCATAGGAGACTTAGGTCTCAGCACTCCCTAAAAGGGGCCAAAAGGCGGGCCACCCTTGGAAAAAGGGCCGGGCGGGAGAAAACCCGGGGAAACTTCAATAAAATAAAAATGGTGATCAATTTGACACCTGCCCATCCCTTCTAGGGTAGGGTAGGTGCCTGAAACCCCGGGCCTTTTGCTCATAAGACTTCATTCCCATTAGCCCCTTGGGGCGGGGATGGGAGACCCGAGAGGTAGCTTTGGCTAGGCCCGGGGGGCGTTTTGGGCCCAAAAATGGGAGGTACTTGTGCTCCTCCCAGGGAGATTAGGTTCAGATACTCCCCAAAGGGGAGCCAAGGCGGGCCACCCCTTGGAAAGGCCCGGGGGGGGAAATACCGGGGATCTTTTTTAATTAATAATGGTAGTTCTATTACCGGCACAGGAGATACCCTGATCATGAAGGTGGTTTTTTCCCCGGGCGAGGCTCACCATTGCACTCCCGGGGGTGCTGACCCCCGCGATTAACCCCAAAAGTGGTTAACTCGAGTGCGAAATTTTTGTTAGCAGGGGGGCTGCGTTCGCGCTTCCCCTTTAAATTAAAAATCTGCAAAATATTGCTTGGACGTTTAGTATTTGATCAATAAGGGGACGCATTGTATTGTGTTCTTTCCAAAAATTTAACCAATTTTTCCCATTTAAAGTTTCATGGTTACCTCGCTATCGATTTTAGCATGT